CCTTTAATAATTTCCGTGTAAGAATTTTTAAAACTTTTTGATAATATTTTGCAAATATAGTAATAAAAAATCAAATTTGATCCTTAAGGATAAGATATTTTTCTAACATAATCATATTTTGTAGTTACATTAATAGTTTAAAGTAGGTATTAATAATTGTTAAGTTTAATTAAAATAATAACGGTTAATGTTTATGGTGAAAATAACGTCAAAAATGTTTATTGGGATGGTTACTTTATTTTTATATAGATGTCGCTTTATGCGAATATTAATTTAAATAATTTTTTAGATAATATTCAGGTTATAAACTCATTTAAGTAATTGCAAGCTCCCTAGTGCCTAAATTAAATTTGTGACTAGAATGGCGTTTATCAAACTTCTAAAACTTTGTTTATATGCAAGTTTGTAAGGACCTTTTGATTTTACCGGGAGTAAACTAGATTTAACTGAGAGCATTAAAAATTTCGGGTGGATACTCCACCGTAAAGTGCCCATACAACATTCTCTTCACTTCACTGTGAAAAACTGCTTTACCCGGTAATAAAAATAGTACATTCCAGTGCAGAATGAGCTTTTTTAATAAATATGGAATTTGCAAAAAAGATTTTCTGCACAAATTATGAACTGTATTTTACACAACGTGTAGAAAATGCAATTTTTGCAAATCGAGTAGTAAAAAAAAATAATTTGTTTTGTGATTTATAAACCTAATAACTCAAAAACTACCGGTCAAAATAGTATATTATGTATCAAGTTTGATAAACGCCATTTTATACACGAATTTAATTTAGGCACGAGCGAGCTTGCGAGCGAGTGCTTAAATTAATGAGTGTATAGAAAAGTTTATAAACGAGGTGCATACTATACTTTTTCTACAACAAATACTTATTATTATCTTAAAATGATTTAAATCAAAAATTTTTATAGAGCGCCATCTATAAAACAACAGGGGAAACTGTTAAATGTCACATTTTTACATTTTATAAACACAATTATAAAGGTTATAAATCGAAATGTATATTAAAAATTGACAGTTTTTCACAGTGAAAGTAAAGGAAATGTTTTATGAGGACTTTACAGTAGAGTCCGTGCCCGAATTTAAGTTATAGTTTACTGCCGGCGAAATTAAAAGGTCAGTACAATGTTCATATAAACTTTTCAAATATTGGCGTTGAGAAACTATTTAATATTTTTGTATTTTTGTATTGAGATAATAAAATAATTTTCACATTTAGTATTATTTTACAAGAAAGACACTTTATTTTAACGATTGTATGACATTTGACAACTGTCAACTAACTTAAAACTAACTTTAGCCCGTGACTAAAAACCTGTTGCTAACTTCAGCCCGTGACTAAAGCGCCGTAAAGCCACAACTTGTCAATGTGTATTTAAAAGGTCACTTAGTGTCATGAAAACATGTACGATACAGGGCGTTTTAAGGGTGGGACTAGAAAAAATAATTTTTTAAATACAAAACACCTTCTTTTTTTTTGTGGTATATTAAAATAAAATATTTCATTAATAAAATTAAAATTAAAAACGTTTGTTGTAATCAAATAATTACGACTTTTCCTTTCCTTATTGGTTTATCACCAAATCACTTTGATATTTTTCTTCATGATCATATATACATAATTATTAAAAAAAGTTTTTTGCTTGTAAATTCCGCAAGTGGTAATAATTTATAAAACAACGATCGAGCCGCCAGGCGAGTGGTTTTGAATATTTTGCGTCCAAATTTTATCACGAAAACATTTTAGTGTTTTTAGGAAAATGTTATTTCACTGCCGATTCAATTTCAAATTGATTTTTCTTGCCAAACTGCATATTTTCAAAGCTTTCTTTTATGCTAAGTAAAAAAACCATTTTGTGAAATCTAATTGGTCCAGAAAGAAATGAGTGAAAGGGTCCGATACATCTAAAATGTATTTTTGAATTTACTTAATTAGGTTTGTTAAGTAAGTCAGTAGTTATTTATACCATTTGACTAAAAAATGAGCCTTTATGTGCTGAACTTAAAGTTTAGACACTTCTCAGCCGAATGACATACTACAATTTATATTCAAAGCTTACTTTTATACTATACATATACGTTTAATTTATCGTTATGTATACAATAATAATAATAATAATAATAATAATAATATTAATAATATTAATAATAATAATAATAATTATTATTATTATTATTAAAAGTAGAAAGTTAGGTTAAATATAAATGTCAGTAGTAAAAGTTTTTAATTAGTCCAAACGGTTTTTTAGATACAGAGTTAAAAAACCTAGATTAGACTAAATTATTTGTACAGCCTAGGCTTGAAGATAAAATAAGTTTATAAAATCACTTGTAATATTCTAAATTGTGTTGTTGACTCTTTAAAATGTCAAAAACGGATTTATGATTCTATTTAAAAAGGTTAAAGCATATTTGATACACAGTAAAAAAATATTTGTTAATTTTAACCAAATATTAACCAGATTTTATGTTAATCCATGTCCACATAACTTTTTGTTAAGTTTACAACCAACTGTAATCTGTTAACTAATTGAATAAGTAGGTACTTTGTACTAATTATTACAGACATTTTGTAGATTTAATAAAAAAATTCCATGTCAATTTTAACCATAATAATAATTATTGTATTTTTTACAAACTTGTATGCAGACCCAGTATCAAAAGTATTTGTTGTAAATTGGGAACTATATATAAAACAAAATTAACACATACCTACATAAATTAACACAAAAATAACATACACAAAATTAAATAACCATTCTGAAATCATGAGATTATATAGAAATTTGGTACAATATAACTAGTACTCAGTACTACTAAAACACTTCACTGTATCGCCTAATTTTAATTTGAAAACCAGTAATGACATTATAAACACTACTGTCGCCGTTATAGTATATTATGTATCAAGTTTGATAAACGCCATTTTATACACGAATTTAATTTAGGCACGAGCGAGCTTGCGAGCGAGTTCTTAATAATAGAAAAGTTTATAAACGAGGTGCATACTATACTTTTTCTACGACAAATACTTATTTTTATCTTAACATGATTTAAATAAAATATTTTTATAGAGCTCCATCTATGAAACAATAAGGAAATCTGTGTGTCACCGTCAAATGTCAAATTTTTACATTTTATAAACACAGATTATAAAGGTTATAAATCGAAATGTATTTCTTGAAAATTGACAGTTTTTCACAGTGAAAGTAAAGAAAATGTTTTATGAGCACTTTACAGTGGATTCCGTGCCCGAATTTAAGTTATAGTTTACTGCCGGTGAAATTAAATGGTCAGTACAATGTTCATATAAACTTTTCAAATATTGGCTTCGCCTCGGGCATCATGGTGCGCAGTGCAGGAATCTCACACTTTCTGCCCTTGTAGTGTAATATACTATTATTTTATATTTTATCTAAAATATTACAGCTGTCAAATAACTTTAATCTCATTTCTATCCAATTTTAACTTAATGCTTACTTCAGCCCGTTGCCGAAGTAAAATTTCGGCCACCGCTTAAAGTTAAGAATTGAAATGAGTGTTGAATAAATAATATTTCATTTCGAGCATTGTATAGCCGGGTAGTCAATTATAACTAACATGTTTTCCCTGGTGGGGTTTAAGCCAAATCCAGAGCGCTCCGCATCATTACCGCATGATGTTTGTTAAAATTGTCGTAGCAAACGTGTGGGGAATACAAAGCTCGCCGTCAACAGACAGCTAATTGAATCCTCCACTCTCATCGCAGTGCTTCCCAACAATGCTCAACTTAAGCTTAAACTAGATTATTTAGCCTAAATTGTTTTTGTGTTTGTTTTTAGGTCATTTAAAACATATTTGACAAATTAGGGTTAAGTTCAAAGAAATATTACAGATATGATGTCAGTTTAAAAATATTTATCAACATTGGATACACTTGACAATTGGACACACTGAACGTCATAGCCTACTTTTTTACAGGCACCACATTTCCTTTTTATTTTTATTATTTTCTCGATGACTTCATTTTTACTTCCATCATAAACCACGTGTTTTATTCCCTAACATGCTAGGTTTTATTATGTCATTATTAAAATGTTAAGGGATTATAAAATCGTAGAATTTTATTACAGATATAATGAAACATTTTGTGTAAATTACTTTTAAATCAAGTTTTACAAAGCAGTCTACATAAAATTTAGAAAATTAACCCGGCGCGTGTGTACAAATCATCCAAGTAACACTTTTTGCTTTGTTTGTGAAAAATTTACTTAAAACATTTACTGATTTACTGTTAAAAGCAATCGCGACTCGTCAGAGGAAGCCAGGGAGGCTTAGAATCTTCAAAATGTTTAATTATATTAAATGTTTTAATTAAATACTTACGTTTTATAATTTAATTAAATAACTCTATGATAGTTCGAATTACTAAGATTTTGGGCTGCTTATTTCAAAAATGCCACTCGTTTTGCTCCAGGACGTCTAAGATTCGAAATAATTGAGTTATAAAATGCTCTGCCCAATTATCTTAAAATGTAAGTTTTTTCGTTAATATTTTAATTATTTATTTAATTATTTTGCCTTAAATCTATTTTGGATGTACCGAGTCCCTGAATATTTTTGACGTTTTTTGTAAGGACTAAATACTAAAATATTAGACCAATGGTCATTTTAAATTCCAAAACTAAAATTATAATGTATTTTTTTGTATTTTTTTTTAAATTTTGGTCGTTTTTTTAATAACTAAATTAAAAAGGCAACAAACCATAAACATTACTCTTCGACTATTATTTGATATTTTTTTAATCAGATCATTCCTAAAGTACCCAAAGATTCAAACTCCAATCTTAAATTTATTAAATCTTATCATATGGGGCCGAAAATTGGCGCCTAATCATTGAAAAAATGCTCTTCGCATTTTAAAGAATTGATGTCAATAAAAATACATTTTTTTATTTTCATCCCTAAAAATTTACCGGACAGTCACCTACTGAATCTTATGAACATGGGGAACGATTTTACCAAGTAACTGTAAATCTAGAGCATTGGTATAGCGGAAAGAAGTTGGATTTATTGCTAGGAGACATTTGCTGGAATTTGCAGCAAAAGACGTACGAAGATGATAAGGATTAAGCACATTAATACTATAATTCGAATCAATTCGATATTTCATACGATTTAATAAATTTAAGATTAAAAAACAGGAAAAAAATTAAATTTTCATAAAGTCGGATTGCCCTTAAAGCAAAATTATGCAAGGCATTAAATTTTGTGGGCTTATCAAATTATAGTCGAAGATAATTTTTATACCGAAACTTGTTTACTTTCTTACCATTTCAATTCAATAATTAAAATAAACGACAATAAAATGTTAAATAATGGTGTTTTTTACATAAAATACATTACAATTTTAATTTTAGTTTTTAAAATGCCATACGGTTATATTATTATTATTAGTTAATATTTTATTATTATAAGTTAATATTATTTATTTGACTTGAAAAAAAAAAACATTTTGATGTGATTAAGTAGAGCATTTTATTACGCAATTATTTTAAATTCTATAGACATCCTAGAGCAAAACGAGAGAAAATTTTAAAATCAGCAGCCCAAAATTAGTTCAACTAGGCCGGAGTACTCAATGTTAGAAAAAAGTTTCTAAAACTATCATAGTGTAATTATTCAGCATAACCAGAATGTAGGACAGGGACGGGCGGGGGACCTAAGCGGCTTAAGCGCGCCTCTGATTTGCTACTTTATTTAATTAATAACTAATTAAATGAACGACAATATTAAGTCGGCCATATTGTTTTTAAGAATTTTAACCTTGGATTTGAATTCATTTAACCCGAAAAGAAAAAAATTGTTCTGATTGTATACCGAATCCAGGTTTGTATTTGTCTACTTTCTAAAAATGAATTAAGCCCGCTGCACAATAGCCCGCTAACGGGAACGAGAACGGGAATCTAAACAGTAAAGGTGGGAGAGACTAAGAAACCACTGTTGATAGATAGTGTTTGCTGAGTCTCTCCCACCTTTACCGTTTAGGTTCCCGTTCCCGTTCTCGTTACCGGGCTGTTGTGCAGCGGGCTTTAGTCAAAAATGACTAATTTAATAAATATTAGTGGCTGCTTTTTCACTTGTACCATGGTTAGCCATGGAATACCAGGGTGTCCCAAAATTTACCAGCCAATTTTTATGTTAAATTATCCCCTGAATCCGAAAATGTCGTCAAAAGTTAAAAAAGTAGAGCAGTTTTTGAGATATAGTCAATTTTTCATTTAATATGGAATTGACTATATCTCAAAAACTGCTTCACTTTCATAATTTTTGACGGTATTTTCGGATTCAGGGGATAATTTTACATAAAAATTGGCTGTTAAATTTTGGTGTACCATGGTATTCCATGTTTAACAACGGTACAAGTGAAAAAAAATGAATTAGTCATTTTTGACTAATTCATTTTTAGAGAGTTTAGATAAATACAAACCTGGATTCGTTAATTCCAATTATAGTAACCACCAGACATTTTTTGTTAAAAACTGTCTGCCCTGATACCTTAAACTTATAAAAAACTACATTGATCATATCTAGTGGATATAACTTAAAAATATAGATATTTCATTTGATGGTATCCTTGCTACAATAATATTATGCCTCCAACTTTATAAAAATGTCTAATCCATGGACCGGAAATTATATTTTCAGAACTTTACTTTAGGTCAATAAACCAAAGAATTTTTAACCTCTGGCTCAAGATTTTAAGAGATAAAGAGAGCAAATTCAATAGAGTGCAGTCGAGAGTAATCTAATCGGGATATTTATAATTTGTTCTTAATAATTTCAGATCCTGTAGTTTAATTTTTACAAGAGCAAGTCCTGTAAATATTCATCATACAAAATTTGTCTAGCAGCTTCATTTTATTTAATGTCATTTATTCGCCCCACTGTGCGGTGGGTTAATAATTTGCACATAAAATACTATTAACAAAGCATAACATAATTTAAAAAGAGTGGAATTAGTTTTTGAACAAAGTTAATTTAAAAATGTTGCTTTGTTTTTATGCTTGATATGGTGTTAGTGCTCCATCGTCACTCTTTAGTAATGTAACGTATGTTTAACCACCAGAATCCTTTTTATAAACCAATTCTTTAAAAATAAAAATTAGAAATAAAAATAGGCTTAAAATGGGATTCATTATTATATTTGATTGACACTGAAGTGCAATTTTGCGACCAAGGGTTATCCCCAGCATATTTTATTTTAAGCTTATTTTTTTTCTTTAACAATGATTGTATGCAATTTTTAATTTTTGGGCGTTAACCAAATTTATTTTATATTTCAGATTTTTGCATCAAAACAATCCAGCTCACTTCACCAAAATAGCCAACCTAACCGTCGTACCGCTAATCTTTTCATCCGACCACCAAACAAACACCAGCCACATCAATGTGTCCATGGATGCGACGTTCAACTTCAACCAGAGCCATCTGGCGCTGTACAGCACGTACTACGGAGAACTATCGACGGAAAACCTCTCCGATCCGGAGGTTAACATCACCAAAACAATATCCAGACTGACGTCGCCGCTAGCCGTGACCGTGGCGGTACTCTTGGTGTTCCTGTTCTCTCCGATGATTCTGATCGGCAATTCTTTGGTGCTGGTTGCTATGTACAGATTCAAGCGACTGCGCACGCCCAGCAACTACTTGGTGATGTCGTTGGCCACCTCTGACTTAGGAATTGGGATGTTCATGCCCATAGGGATGTACTTGGAGCTTGGGGGGGATAAGAACTTCACCAGTGCTCGCGTCTGTTTGATGAGTTACGGGGTCGCTATTAGTTTGTGTAGTGTTTCCGTTTTGGTGATGGTCGCCATCGCGGTAGATCGGTTTACGTCTTTGGCGCGGCCCTTAAGGTACAATAATTTGATCACCCATACAGCTGTGGAGAGGTACATAGCGGTTTTTTGGGCGTACAGTTCCATGGTCGGATTCACGCCTTTGGTGTACTCGATTGTCAGTGGAAAGAATTATAGGTAAGTAAAATAAAAAGTTTATAACTATTTAAATTTACAACATCTTTACTTAATAATTGGTAGGCAGTGGACTGCATAAATTTGAGAAATAGGGGTTGGTGGTGTTAGTTGACTGATTTTTATAAACAGATAAAAAGTAGTCATACCTTGTTGCTGGTGTTGATGGATACAAGCAGGGCCCTGGTTCTGGCAGTTATGCTATTTGAGATGGTTTCAAGCGGGTGCGATGCCCACAGTGGGATAAAGCGGGTACAATGTCGCGTGGTAGATCACTGTTTATCGCGGGGATGCTTGCGGTTCGAACTCTTCATTGTTAATACACTATCCATCATGCGGTCAAATAGGTACCCGAGTCAAAATTAAGATCGTAATTTAAACCTTAAGTCTGACAATTTCCGTCTTAAACGGTTTTATATTCGCCTAAAGATAACCAACTTATGACCTAAAACATGGCAGATAAGTCCATTTTCCCGATTTTTCGGTTCTAATTACGTTTAAATTTAAACCAAAAATTTTATTAGAGGTTTAAATCGGTTTAAATCGGTTCAAATTAAGATTAATTCGGTTGTTCTAGTGCTAAATTGGAGTAAACAGACTGAACAGGTTTTAAATCAGTTTTGGTAGGTCAAAGTAGGTTTAAATTACGATTTAAATTTTGACTCGGGTAATTAAGAATAATTGCGGTAAACATGCGCGTTAATATTAAATATTTCGCGAAGACGAAACAATAATGGTATAGTAAAATAACAATCTAGTGTATCGTAATGCAGTACTAATACACATTTTTAGTAAAAATACATTTCAATATAGTAAAAGTTTAACTATATTTTTGTACTTATCAGATACAAGTTTTAATTTTACAATATTATTAATAAATCATAATGCATGAAAATCTAGAATTGTTTGGCAAACTCCTTGGTAACAAGTGTATTATCGGGTAAGATCCCTCTGAAACTCAATGACCACGTTGATTTGATAAACAATTCTTTCTGTAAATTACCCAATAAAATATACCTGTAGAATTGCCTTAACTTCATATCTCCATTATTTACTGAAAACTCCTGTACCCAATAGTATTTTCATGAATGATCAGAGCTAAGACACCGAGAGCCTGAGCTATTATATCAGATCAAAAATAAATATTCCATATACCATTTGCTAAAAATATTCGGAAAATCGATTTCTCGTGAATAACAGGTATTATCCTCTATCGATATATTACTAGTGGATATTTTTTATGCCTAGTAAATGTTTCAAACATTAATTTTGTTAAAATGGTTGCCTTCTTAGGTGATACACATTTAAAATCGTTATATAGTTTTATAGTTCTTTAGCTCAATAGTAGCCCCCTTTCTTTCCTGATCTAAGCCCTAGCTATTTTTTATGGGGATATTATATGCTGGAGAAAAAGAATAAAAAACTTTAAATGTGTATCACTTTCACCGTAACTTACTTTTTAATAATAACTTTTTTCTACTCCCACCTTTAAAGCGCCCTTTATCGTACATGTTTCCATGACACTAAGTGACTTTTTAAATACATATTGACAAGTTGTGGCTTTATGGCGCTTTAGTCATGGGCTGAAGTTAGCAACAGGTTTTTACGGGCTGAAGTTAGTTTTAAGTTAGTTGACAGTTGTCAAATATCATACAATCGTTAAAATAAAGTGCCTTTCTTGTAAAAAAATACTAAATGTGAAAATTATTTTATTATCTCAATACAAAAATACAATAGTATATTACACTACAACCTGCCCCGACATTTGCGGCACGAGCGAAGCCTTCGTAGCCCTTGTAGTGTAATATACTCGAAAATACGTTGTTTCGTCCCCGATTCCAATGCATCAAACGTAAACTTTCTGCCGTGGAATCGGGGACGAAACAACGTATTTTCGGCCGAGGTAGTAAGAAAAAGTATTAAATAGTTTCTCAACGCCAATATTTGAAAAGTTTATATGAACATTGTACTGACCTTTTAATTTCGCCGGCAGTAAACTATAACTTAAATTCGGGCACGGACTCCACTGTAAAACATTTTCTTTACTTTCACTGTGAAAAACTGTCAATTTTCAAGAAATACATTTCGATTTATAACGTTTATAATCTGTGTTTATAAAATATAAAAATTTGACATTTGACAGTGACACACAGATTCCCCTATTCTTTCATAGATGGCGCTCTATACAAATTTTTGATTTAAATCATTTTAAGACTTAAGATAAGTATCAGTATCAGTATCAGTATAAGTCGTAGAAAAAGTATAGTATGCACCTCGTTTATAAACTTTTCTATACACTCATTAATTTTAGCTCGCTGGTGCCTAAATTAAATTCGTGTATAAAATGGCGTTTATTAAACTTGATACATAATATACTATTTTAGTTTTTGGTAGTATTTTGATGTTTTTAATTCCAATAGTGAATAGGAATCAGTTTGTAAATGGGCAATTTTTTTCCAAAATACATTAGTAGAGAAAAATAATACATTTATTTTAAATCGTAGCTACATAAGAAAATACACTTATTTGCGGTTAAGATTAAGGCACTTAAATTAGAAAAAAATCCACTTAAGGTTGAAGGAAACGCTTGAGATTTTTTCCGCAATTACATTTTGAGTAATACATTACGAATTACCGTAGATAAAGTCACGATGGGTCAGACAATTGAAAACGATTCAACCAAACTTTTTCATAATCAGTAAATGCGAGTACTAGTTCTAATATATAAAGTGTAACTAAAATACTTGGTCAAACTTTACGAACCATGTACAGTGCAGGAAATACCGTAATTTCCTATAGCCAATAAACAAGCACGAGAGAAATACGTACTTTTAAAAAGACATACTTACTTTAAACAATTATTGTTTAATTATTGTTTATTGGCTATTATAGCTATAATAGCCCTTGGTCTAATAAAGCGATTCAATTAAAAGGGACTTTTCGAAAATAGCATGCTTTAAACATTACAGTTAATCTGTTAATTTAATTATTTATGACGTTTCTAAAAACCAATTAAAGCTTTTACTTTTAGTCATGTGGGTACGTTTTTGTCAATCAAAACATTATTACAGTAGGAATAATTTACTAACCTTATTGCCGGAAGAATAATTTAAAGTATTTTTTGACATTTGTTTTTATTGTTGATGGTCAAAAAATAATACCACGAGAGATCGCTACTGAAACTTGTTGCTATATTGGAATAGACATTGGGGCCCTTAAGGGTATCGTATCTATAGATAAATATATTTACTGGTAGGTGGTTTTAAAAAATTTAATAGTTATTGGTTTTACAAGTGTTGAAAATCGACTTTTTCATGTGAGTGTTTAAGTTGCTCACGAGGCCGGTAGGCCGAGTGTGCATTAACACGAGCTTGAAGAAAGCTTTTCTCACAAGTGAAACACAATGTTTTTTTCTACGACCCTTTTATATTTTTTTAAATACAAAACAAAATAACCTAAAAACCTGTTTGACAGCTGTTAAAATTACTTTCATCCTATTCTTTAAATAAAGGCATTCAAAATTTATTATACAAACACAATTAATTGTGTTCTAAATGATATTTAGACTTACGTATACAAATACAATACAAATTTTGAAACGAATGTCAAACGATGCTGTCAATTTCTTTTCACATAGACCTGTCACTTTTCACAAAGAAATGTCACTTTACATTCGTGTTTTACCTTGCCAATGAAAAGATCAATTTTCTAAGCAACGATGCCATTATTACAAAATGTGACTTTTACATAGTGGTCGTAGAAAAAATTATTTTCAATTTATTCTCACTTTCTTGTGATATTACTATTGAATGGATTTTTGACCACGATAAAACATAAGAAATAAAATCTTTGTTATTTTTTGTTCCCAACGTGTAAAAGTTGATAGGTGCAGTGACTTCAAGGCACTTAACTGTTTCTTTTTCCAAGTCCATCTCAGGCAAAGGCTAAAAGTCCCTTAATGTGCAACACGGCATCTGGCTGCTTTAAAGACAGATTGCCAGACTTATTGCAGTAGGCTTTCTGGGAAGCTTCGTTAATTGAACGAAAATGGCTTCGCTTAATACAGGCGCTTTGCTTTCTTACTCTTCTGAAAGAAAATAAAAAGTTTAAAGAGGTTTGAATTAGATTTTATTTCATATGCACAACGGGTGGATCAGCTAACTTTTATCACACTGAATATTTTGGAAAACATCTCGACCGTATTAATGTATAATTATTTACAACAATGTAGTACTATTCAAGTTTTTATAGTTAAAAACACTTTTTATGCTTACTTTACAAGTAACCATTTTTAAAGAAATTTTTATTTTGCAATAAACATTAACTTTTACCATATCATAAATACTAAATTTTTAAAGCTTTTTTAACTATTATTAATATTATAAATTGTTTACCGTTAAAATTAATTTTTTTACCATTTTTAGTTCACAAAGGAGCATTTTGTAAATTCACGAACAATTTCACTTTTTTTTAATCAAAAATAGAAAATTGTAAAAATAATGGAATGGTATTTTGCATTTAAATTATTTTTTTTAATTATTTGTTTTTTATCATTTTTTATATGTTTTATACAGGTTGTTCCAAAAGTCATGGACAGCAGAAAAGGGATGGATAAGGAGTGATTTTCCAAGCCCCTCCCTTAATTAGTTATTAATTAATAAAGTAGCCAATCAAATGGACGTCCTGATAAAAATAATGCGCTAAAAATAATGCGCTCTTCTTTATAGGAGTTAGTGCGAAGGGTTATACAAGTTATACAAAAGTATCACTAAAAGAAAAAGTTAATTTAATTTCGTATACAATTTCTGTTTCATTAAGAACATGTTATTCTTTTTTTTTTCTTGAAGGCATTTTGAATAAAAATGGGTATATAATAATAACAAAAAATATAACATCAATAAAAATTGCCGCCCCGGGACTATGGCTCATTTAGCCCTGTGGTTAGGGTGGCCCCCTAAATGCGCAATAATAAAACATAATATTATTTTAGGTTCAAAAGTATT